CTCTCTCTCTCTCTCTCTCTCCCACACACACACACACACACACACACACACACACACACACGGTCATCATTCCTTTTCATTTAATCTCTGGGGGGAAAACAAACAAACAAAAATACTGTGGCACAGAGGAGCCACTTAGGGCCATGTGGCCCTTCATACATAAATCTAATAATATACCCAGGCTAGAGGAGTTTCTAAAATTAACAGATTGGGTGCAAAGCGGCTGGGAATGCTGACACCAGCAGGCCTGCCACTCCAGCAGATTTCTACACCCCACCCCTCCCCAGCTCTGGTTCCCTCAATTACAGACAAAATTCAAGACAGTAATTAACAGGAGAATGTTTGCATTTAGTGGTCTTCATAAAACCAAATTGCATGAGGCAAAACCACCCATTTCCTTACATTCTGACTAATTGTTTCAATCTTGAGTTTCCAGGTGCTCCAGATATTTCTGGTTGATCTGGGCTGGGGTCAGAATATTGGCATTTCCTTCTCCCATCCAGGAGGATCCCAGAAGCTCTGAGAGGGGCAAATCAGCCTGTTGGAAGGGGTAGAGTTCCAGGGCCAGCCAACCGTGCATCTGTTCCTGCTCTAGTCATTTGGACTCTCCTGCCTCTGTTTTTCTCATTTACTCATCTTCTTATCGACTCACACACCTCATCAGCAAAACAAAATAAACTGAGGCCAGTAAAATGCTCTGACCCGTGCCCTCTATTATTAAATGGGTAAATAAATGACTTCAATCAATCGACTGGCAGGAAAGACATGAGAGGTGGAAGACAACATCCTACAGGGACTAGCTGGAGCAAAACTTCTACTGGGAGTAGGGTCAGAGGGGAACCTGTAATAAACAGGAGAGCCAGTGACAGAAGCCAGAGACCAAAGCACCTGACTAAGCATATGGTGGCACCTGTCTGCCTCAGCATCCAGATGCCTTGACCTCGGGGAACTCACAATCCCCCTGGAGATGTAGCCTTGGGGTCTAAGAAGCCATCCCCTGCTGCTGGATATCCGAAGAGGTGGCTGTTGGTGACCATGATGGGAGAAAGTGGGAAAATGCTACTGGAGAAGATGAGAAGATTCAGGCTCTGGGAACTGCCCTTGGCCTTGTAGACAGTGTCTCTATACTCTTTGCCAGATGGTTGCACAAATCTCTGAACGGAGCCCAAAATTGTGTTCAGCACCATGGATAGTGTCCGTCACGCCTGCCAGCCCCAGTCTGCAGGTCTAGCCAGGGGAGCTTGGCAACAGCCTTCCTGCTGGCATCTTCAGGGCAAGCCACCCTCTCTACACCCCTAGTCCAGGCGGCCAGAGTATCTCAAATGAGTCCTTTCTATGACTAGGACTTTTTTTGTTGGTGGCTCCTTAGAGACAGAAAAACCTTTATTTGTAAAGAGCCCCCAAACGCTGCACAAGGATTGAGTACTTAACTTTGAGCTTTCCATGAATTGGGCCATTTAACCCTCACACTAGTACTACAGCTACCACTGTCTGTGTTTACAGATGATAACATTGAGGCTCAAACACAAGCATGTGCTCAGGGACATAGGGCTAATGAGAAGCAGAGGCAAGATTCAGATAGGTCAATAAAACTTCAAAGTCTGGTAGCTCTGTGGGGTGCAGGGGACAGATGAACCTTCCTGGTACTGCATGACAGTGGAGATGGTCCTACCAAGGTAGGTGTATCCACTGCCCCAGACACTGTCCCAGACACAGAAAAGAAAGGGTTGTTGAGAAAATCTGAGAGGACTGAACTTCCTGATATCAGGGCCTCCTAAGGTCTGGTCTGGGTGAGAGAACAGTGGATCTCTCCAGGGATAAAAGCACGTGGCCATTAGCTGACAGTCAGCCAGGAACAGTTGCACCTATCCTTCAGAAGGGAAAACTAAAGTCCAAGGGAATAGTAGATTTCTGAAGCCACAGGATAGCTGCCCAATGTTCTCACAGCACCCTAGTGTCCCCAGAACCATTCAGAAATAACATCACAATCCAAGACAGACATAGTAGCAGGCACCAGGCTGTGATAAGGAAGCAATAGGCAACCAGACCAAGACACTCTGGAATTGGCACATGCCAGATTTAGAGGCCTGGGTCTCTGCGGTGCTCAAGTGCCTTCCCTCTCCAGAACTGATGGGTCCTGGTCAGAAAGCAACAGCCCGGCTCTGGTCAGTCTAGGTGTCAGACTGTCTCCCCAGCCTCTGGCTTCGCCTCCTCTTTGATTCAGGCAGATGGCTGGGAGTGGAGGTCCAGAAGCTGACCCTGCGGGGCCAGGACCCATGTGTAGAAGGACTGAGCAACAGCAGATAGGCAAACATCCCTTTACCCTGTTGTCTCAATTACTTATGGGGTAGTCTGAGGGGAGGGGCTACCCCCCATGGAGATGAGGGCAGAGATGATGACAACTCTCAACTTTGAACTCAGAGACTCTGGACTAAACAAAGGACCCTCTCCTTCCATGCAGGCTGAAGAGGAAGGCTTCCTCTAGCCTCCTCATTTCCTCACAAGCTCATGCTTGCCTGTGAGCATATATGGAGGCAAACAGACACATGTGTGTGCACAACAGACTGCACATCTGCAAGCATGCATACATACATAAGTGCATTTTTTGTAAACACTTGTCTGTGTCCCCATTTTGCCCTCATATCTATACCCACCTTCAGCAATACCTACTTGCATACATTTTTGGGCACAAATGATTATCCCCGAGGAATCCTGTCAGCCAGAAGAAAGAGAATGCCACCGTCTTGCCATTCAAATATTTCCCATCATTCCATGTTCATCTGAGCAGCTACCTCCTCTGGCCTCTTTAACCTCTAACCCTGAGTCTTTGCCAGCTTAAGACCTGGCTTCAGCTCTTAGCGGTCAGCAGGCTTCTGAAGGGCAGGTCTTTGTCTCAGCCCTGGGTCCCTGGAATCTGAGTGTAGTGCTGGTCCTCTACCCTGTTAAACAGCACCCTGTCTCTTCATGCTCCTATGTGCAGATGGTTCCTGCTTCAGGCCCCCACCCTCCTCCTAGCACCAGACCTGCCTTCCCACCTGCCAGGAGAATGTGCCCACCTGGAGGGCCAGCTGTCTCTATACCCAGTGAGTACACAGCTGAACTCAGCATTGTCCTCCAAGCTGATAGGTACAACCTGCATTCCTGTCTTTGCACCCAGGACTCACAATCTCATAGCAGCTCTCTACAGACCTCCCTTACCCCGCCTGTCCTCACAAGCCCCTCAGAAGTTACCAGATCTTCTCTGGCTTCTCCTATGATGCTGCTTCAGAGTGCCCTTTCTGCCCCAGATCTGAATCTTTTCACTCCTGCTCCTGCACCTTACCTGGCCTCCACCCCCAATCTGTTTGCCTCCAATACACATGCTCCTCCCCCAGTTATCTTTCCAAGTCATGAGGAGCAAGCATTGACCTGAACCCTATGGGGAACCTTTGGGAATTCTTAGTCTGGCAGCCCAGCCACCCCTTCCCTTTTCTTCCCCTCAGCTCTGTTACAGTAGCCAACAGGACCCCTGGTTCTCCCCTCCCAGGCCCCCTCTCATTCACAGCCTTGCTCCTCTGAAGCCATCAGCTTTTGAAGTCCTTTCCCTTGTCCAAGACTCAATGTCTTCATCTTCACAAGGTTGGCCTGAGTTCCCGCCATGGGCTTGGGCTTCTCTGTTAGCAGATCCTCCTCCCTTCATCTTCGACTTCTCCACCTACTCTCCTTGCTAGCCCTTCAACAAGTCACAGAACCCAGGAGTCTTCAAGTCTGGGAAAAGTGATGAAAGCTGAGACAATCTCCTCCAAACGTGCACTACCTGCCCTGTGGTAACAGACAGTAAGGTGTGCAGCAGTCAGTAGCTGTTAGGCACCTGCTACCTGCCGGGCACTAATCTGTATATGGGTTATCTTCTTTTGTCCTTATAAAGACACTAAGAGGCAGACACTGGTTGTGCCCTTTTTACAGACAAGGTGACTGAGGCCCTGCAAGTTGAGAACTTCAATAGTGGATCAAGAATTCAAGGGCAAACAGCTTGACTCCAGAATCCTGCCTTTAACTACACCATAGA